CCCTGAGTAACAATTCTGTGTCCCTGAGTAACAGTTCTGTGTCCCTGAGTAACAATTCTGTGTCCCTGAGTAACAATTCTGTGTCCCTGAGTAACAATTCTGTGTCCCTGAGTAACAATTCTGTGTCCCTCAGTAACAATTCTGTGTCCCTCAGTAACAATTCTGTGTCCCTCAGTAACAATTCTGTGTCCCTGAGTAACAGTTCTGTGTCCTTGAGTAACAATTCTGTGTCCCTGAGTAACAATTCTGTGTCCCTAAGTAACGATTCTGTGGCCCTAAAGTCTCTTTGGCCCTAACTCTGTCCCTAATACAGAGAGGTCTGTCTCTCTTGAATGACCGGAGGCTAATGGAGAATTCTAAGATGGCCGCAATTTATAGCTCGACCATTACACAGTGCTGGCTGGCTGGCTGCTGATTGGCTAATGCGATCACATGTCATGAATGAATGCATTATGGGTCAGCGCGCGCTTGTCTGCGCGCCTTCCCAGAGATCCCCGCTCCGTCGCCACACATGTCGCCGCCATTTTTGGAAAATTTCGAGTCGCGCATCCGATCTAAGTTGCTAATTTTCGGATTCGGCGCGAATCGAATTTTTCCTAATCTTCGAAACGAATTCCACTTCGCCAAGTTCGATTCGCTCATCTCTAGTTATTAAGGTAGATATGATAACCTTTTTGGAACAGTGCAAATGCCAGGTCCCAGACAATTTTTCCACTTGTGCCGATGTAGGTTTGGGCTGGAACTGGGAGTCTTTGCCTTTGTACACGCAGAATGCATGCACATATCCTGTAGATCTTTCACAGAGCTTGTTCAGCTTCAATCCATACCTGGCCCTTTTACTGGGAATGTATTGCTTGAATCCCAGCCGGCCAGTAAAGTGGACAAGGGATTCATCCACACAAATTTGTTGCTCAGGGACATAAATGTCCACAAATCTCTTAGCAAAAGAATTTATTAAGGGGCGGATTTTGTATAGCTTGTCATTGTTGGGATGATCTCTGGGAGGGCACTGTGAGTTGTCATTGAAATGCAGGAATCGCATGAGCAGATCATACCATGACCGGGACATTACAGCAGAATAGATGGGCATATGATAGATGTGGTTGGTGGACCAGTAGGCATGCAATTAATTTTTTTTTTTAACCAAAGGATTTGAAAAACTCACTGTTCCTTGGTTCTCCTCCTCACACAAGATCGGTGTGTGAGGAGGAGAAGATAGCAACAGTGAGTGATCACTGTGTGTTTACACTTATGATTGGCTGTGACAGGCTGTTAAAGATCACAGCTGTTTACATGGTAAAAAGCCAATTTCATTGGCTCTCTACCATCAGTAGGGAAGCACTGTGTCCAAGGGACACAGACTGACATGCACGTCGCAATGCACAGGATGTCATATGATGTCCAGTCACAGGGAGAAGAAGACCGCCCAGTCCTCAATCCACTATAGGCCAGGCAGGATCTGATTAATGAGGGTCTGGTATGAATTTTAAGGGGGACCCCATGCAAAAAAAAAAGGCATGGGGTCCTGTATTAAAGCAAAAATGGTTGTAAATCCATCACTAATCATGGTATCCAGCAACATAGATCCATGTCAATCAAGATGAATGATGCCGCTGTCAAAAGAAAAAGGTGACCATCAGAGATAATCCACAGCTGACGGACTCCATGGCACAAATGACAGCTCCCTGATGAATGTAAACAAAGCTAATGACATTTAAGCAATGCCTGCCAGTTTGTTTACAGGTTGGCAGACAGCAGGACAGTAGTTGATAGGACACAAGCAGACACCAGCATATTATCAATGATGCTGTTCAGCCTGAACAGCAGAAGTATTCATTTATTTGCGGTATTAATATTCAGTGCTGGTGAACTGGCCAGTCAGTGAATGCTGAACATACAAAATTTGAGCTGATCCCTACATTGGCTGAACCTGAACCTCATCACTACTAAATTTTACATGGTCCAGAATTTGGCACCCTTCACCATTGTATACAACTGGGACCAAATAACGTAACTGTTGGCAGATGACAAATGTATGTATCTGAACTGTCCAGTCACAAAGCAGTGTTGAGAGGTCTCACAGTGTTCTAGAAATTTACATAGAAGACATCAATTCCACTGCTTACACTGATTCCTCTGAAGACTCAGCATGCTTAAAATAAAAGTGATTTCTACATTGATTCAATATTTTAACCTTGCTGCATGCTTGGTAGATTTGCTTTATTAACTATACTATTATATTATTTTTGATCGAAGAAATAAGAAAAAATAACCATAGCAATTTAGCTGGCCTCTTGATTTAAAATGATTATCAAACCCTTGCCACCTATTTGTTTCCTGCATTGCAGAGTTATCAGCTAGGTGAACTCTTTAAGCAATTTTTTTAAAATTCTATCCAGATTTCAACATAGATCTTAAAGTGGTCGTAACACTAAAAGAAAAATGTTCCTGGCCCTTTAAGGTATGATACACTGTATAGCATAGTGCTTTTGCAGTGTCATTTGTCCCTTTCCATGTTGTACAATACCTGGTTGATCCTGCCTGTTCCTGTGTTCCCCTCTGTAAACTGACTGTCAGGGCTCCAGGGTATGACCAGAGGTATGTGAACTGACGCAGGGAAACGCAGGCTTCAGATAAGTTATAAACAATATAATTTATTAAAGACTAACAATACAAACATAAACGCAGTGCAATACTAAAACATAACACAGTGCAAACGAACCAAACCACCCACAGATAACAGTACATACAATGCAAGCATCGTCAGGCAGGCCGGGTCAATAACGATCGGGCAGGTAGGTACAGGGGGTCAGGCAGAGAATGGTCGGGGTCACAAGCTAGGGATAAAACAGGAGAAGTCAGCAGAGGTCCGGATCAGGCAGGGTCAGCAACGAATCAGACAGAGACAGGAACAGGGATGCAGGAACAAGATACAGGGCCCAGGAAAAACACACACCAAGGCAGAGACTGCAGGTCTGGCCATCCCTTAAATACACCTGCATAATCAACTTCAGGTGTTTGGCTGGCTGCAGGGTTGAGCCTCTGATTGCTGGGAGCACCCGCTGGCCAGCCCTGGTACTGCAGCCCACAAGGCAGGTGAGTCCCACCATTACTGGCAAGTCCATTCCTGACATTACCCCCCCCCTCAAGGAGCGGCCTCAGGACGCTCCAAACAGTCCTAGCTGGGCAAAATGTTCCACCGCCCGGGTCTGGTAACTGGCGGGATATCAAAGACTGGCACATCGGGCAGGACTCCAGGCAGCGGCACACCGGCAGGACTCCGGGCAGCGGCACACCGGGCAGGACTCCGGGCAGCGGCACATCGGGCAGGACTCCGGGGGCAGCGGCACATCGGGCAGGACTCCGGGCAGAGGCACATCGGGCTGGACTCCGGGCAGAGGCACATCGGGCTGGACTCCGGGCAGAGGCACATCGGGCTGGACTCCGGGCAGAGGCACATCGGGTAGGACTCCGGGCAGAGGCACATCCGGGCAGCGGCACATCGGGCAGCACATGGGTACTCGGGCGGACTCCGGCAGAGGCACATCGAGCTGGACTCCGGAGAGGCACATCGAGCTGGACGGAGCAGCAGGCACCGGGCCACCAGGCGGAGCAGCAGGGCACCGAGCCACCAGGGCGGAGCAGCGGGCACCGGGCCCCCAGGAGGGGAGACAGGCATCGGGCCCCCAGGAGAGGGCAACAGGCATCGGGCCCCCAGGCGGGGGAGGCAGGCGCCGGGCCCCAGGCGGGGCAGCCCCCAGGCGGAGCCGGGCGACGGGACATCGGGCCCCCAGGGGGGCAACCATCGGGCCCCCAGGGGGGGCGGCAACAGGGCATCGGGCCCCGGGCAGGCGGCGGGCAACAGGCAGACAGGCACGGGCCCCCAGGAGGGGCGACAGGCATCGGGCCCCCAGGCGGCAGGCAGCGGGCCCCAGGAGGCGGCGGGCACCGGGCCCCCAGGCGGAGCGGCAGGGCACCGGGCCCCCAGGAGGGGCGGCAGGCACCGGGCCCCCAGGAGGGGCGGCAGGCAGGCACGGGCCCCCAGGAGGAGGGGCGACGGGCATCGGGCCCCCAGGCGGGGAGGCAGGCGCCGGGCCCCCAGGCGGGGAGACAGGCATCGGCCCCCAGGCGGAGCGGCAGGTGCCGGGCCCCCAGGCGGAGCGACAGGCATCGGGCCCCCAGGGGGGGCGACAGGCATCGGGCCCCCAGGCGGGGCAACAGGCATCGGGCCCCCAGGCGGGGCAACAGCGGCGGGCGCCGGGCCCCAGGCGGAGCGGCAGGCACCGGGACCCCAGAGGGGCGGCAGGCACCGGGCCCCCCCAGGGGGAGAGACAGGCGCCGGGCCCCCAGGCGGAGCGGCGGCGGGCGCCGGGCCCCCAAGCGGAGCGGCGGGCGCCGGGCCCCCCCAGGCGGAGCGACGGGCACCGGGTCATCAGGCACGACAACGGGCATCGGGTCACCAGGCATCAGGTCATTTGGCTCGCCAGCGGGCACCGCGTCATCTGGCAAGGCAGTGGGCACCGAGTCACCAGGCACGACAGTGGGTTCCGAGTCAACTGGCATGACCACGGGCACTGGGTCAGACATTGGATCGTCTGGCTCGACAGCGGGCATCGGGTCACCAGGCATCAGGTCATTTGGCTCGACAGCGGGCACCGCATCATCTGGCAAGGCAGTGGACACCGAGTCACCAGGCACGACAGTGGGCTCTGAGTCAATTGGCACGACAGCGGGCACCGGGTCATCAGGTACCGGATCGTCTGGATCGACAGCGGGCACCGGGTCATCTGGCGTTGGATCGTCTGGCTCGAAAGCGGGCATCGGGTCACCAGGCATGACAGTGGGCACTGGGTCACCAGGCATCAGGTCATTTGGCTCGCCAGCGGGCACCGCGTCATCTGGCAAGGCAGTGGGCACCGAGTCACCAGGCACGACAGTGGGCTCCGAGTCAACTGGCATGACCGCGGGCACTGGGTCAGACATTGGATTGTCTGGCCCGACAGCGGGCATTGGATCACCAGGCATGATAGCGGGCACTGGGTCATCAGGCATGGGATTGTCTGGCTCGACAGCGGGCATCGGGTCACCAGGTATGACAGCGGGCACTGGGTCACCAGGCATCAGGTCATTTGGCTCGCCAGCGGGCACCGTGTCATCTGGCAAGGCAGTGGGCACCGAGTCACCAGGCACGACAGTGGGCTCCGAGTCAACTGGCATGACCGCGGGCACTGGGTCAGACATTGGATCGTCTGGCCCGACAGCGGGCATCGGGTCAACAGGCATGACAGCGGGCACTGGGTCATCAGGCATTGGATCGTCTGGCTCGACAGCGGGCATCGGGTCACCAGGCATGACAGCGGGTACTGGGTCATCAGGTACCGGATCGTCTGGATCGACAGCGGGCATCTGTCAACTGCCCTAATGGAATCATCAGGCTGGATCAGTTCATCAGGCTGGGTAGAAGAAACATCATGCTGGGTAGAGGCATCAGGCTGAATGGAGGCATCAGGCTGCATGGAGGCATCAGGCTGGGTGGAGGCATCAGGCTGGGTGGAGGCATCAGGCTGGGTGGAGGCATCAGGCTGGGTGGAGGCATCAGGCTGGGTGGAGAGGCATCAGGCTGAGTGGCTGAATGGGCGCCGAGGCACCAGGCTGCACCACGGAAGGCAGGTTCTCAGATGGGAGGCTGACCTGTTTGGATACTGGCAGGATGGTATTGGTTGGAAAGAACTTTCGCCTTTTCTGGTTTTAGTTACCGGAGCACCGTAAGTAAGCGCAGGTTTGTAAATGGATGGAGCAGCTGGAGACAGAGAAGAGCTGGAGGATGGAACAGGGGAGGGAACAGTTGCTACAGAGGGCTTCTTTACAGGGTTAAAGGCAGGATAGGTGCAGCGAGTGGGAACAGGGTACTGACATGCGGTAGATAGCAGGGTATACTGGGCTGTAACTGGAGGTGCTGTTGGGAATGCAGGAATAGAGCTTTGAAGAAATAGATTAGAAGCAGGACTGGGTTTTTGCAAGCTGACTGAGGCTGGGTGCAACAAGTCTGACCATGTCTGCAGTATGGGTTGAACAAAGCTCAGCTTACACAAAGCCTGTCTGACCAAAGACTGCACTGCGTTTATACAATCTCTTAGTACCTGTTGTGAACATGCAGAATAACGCTCCAGAAAGTAATCCACATCATCCTCTAATAACCATACCAGGGACTCTACCTGGGCGGCCCTAAATGGGGGCAAAAATTCATCCCTGCATTCAGGGGTACCAGATGAAACCAACTCAGCACAAACCTGAATCAATGGCTGCACCTCAGAGAACTCTGTGCCCTGATCTACTAGGCAATGAGCGATCCGTATACATTCTAGCAGTTCATCCCGGGGATACTCATTCAGAGTTTGATAAGCATACTCTCTGTCATCAAACACTAGCAGAGATAAATACACAACCTCATCAAGATCCATCCTTCCCAGCAACAAGCCAAGATGGCTTCCCTGTGCAGCCACTTCTGGTCAGGATTGGCCTTGGTGTAATGTCAGGGCTCCAGGGTATGACCAGAGGTATGTGAACTGACGTAGGGAAACGCAGGCTTCAGATAAGTTATAAACAATATAATTTATTAAAGACTAACAATACAAACATAAACGCAGTGCAATACTAAAACATAACACAGTGCAAACGAACCAAACCAAACCACCCACAGATAACAGTACATACAATGCAAGCGTCGTCAGGCAGGCCGGGTCAATAACAATCGGGCAGGTAGGTACAGGGGGTCAGGCAGAGAATGGTCGGGGTCACAAGCCAGGGATAAAACAGGAGAAGTCAGCAGAGGTCCGGATCAGGCAGGGTCAGCAACGAATCAGACAGAGACAGGAACAGGGATGCAGGAACAAGATACAGGGCCCAGGAAAAACACACACCAAGGCAGAGACTGCAGGTCTGGCCATCCCTTAAATACACCTGCATAATCAACTTCAGGTGTTTGGCTGGCTGCAGGGTTGAGTCTCTGATTGCTGGGAGCACCCGCTGCCCAGCCCTGGTACTGCAGCCCACAAGGCAGGTGAGTCCCACCATTACTGGCAAGTCCATTCCTGACACTTACCACGCTAATCATAGCTGCTGATCCATGATAGTGTGGTTAGTTTACGTCCCTCCATTATACTGCTGTGTCTTCAGAGTGACTGCCTCTCCCCTTCCCTCTCTGTCATTTCTATAGTCTGTGGTGTGAAGCCAATCTCCTCCCCGCCCCACCCCTTCCCTCCTTCCTCCATTGAGTTCCAATTCCCTTGTAGCTGCCCTTCCTCTTTGTTTAAGTGAATCTCAGCCCCTCCCACTGTACTTGCTTATATCAGGAAGGAGAGCAGAGGGAGACCATGTGACTGTACAGCAGCACTGTGCAAAAAAGGTACTTATACATGTAACAGTAAATAAAACACACACACTACACTTAATATGGATCAAAAATACAGAGATTAAAAAAATTTATTAGATGTGACTTTACAATCACTTTAATAAGTTTAATTGTTCACAGGTCTGCAGCAAATATGAATTTCTAAAAAACATAGCATAATGCTGTTTCTCTACTTTCTTCCATAACCTCCAGATATGATCTGTTAATACACCTTCTCACAAGCACACACATTTTGGAACTGTGTCCAAACTCTTCTGTTAATCTTAATTAAATGTTAAAAATTAAACATTTACGTTTGATCTGCTGTTAAAACAAGTCTCAGGTATTTTCTATTTCTGTAAGATTATACAGTATTATTGTTTCTTCAAGCGTACCTTCACCTAAAAGAAAAGGTTTTGTTCATCCTCCTCCACTCTCACTTCTGTGATTCTTGCTTAGGTGAGATTTACATAAATTTGATCTGCTACCCAACCTACACAAGATTTGTAAGATTGACTGCTTCATTGTATGACACTGCTATTATATAAAAAAAAAAACTGTCCCTCACTTTTGTCCCCTATGTATACATTGCAGATGTCTTTAAAGCAACAGAAATGTCCTATGTGCAAAATCCTTTTCAAACAGCTAAAAATAAAATGTATTATTATTTTTATTTTTTAGGTATGCTGTAAGAATGGGAGCACATAGCAAACATATAGTATGGGTTTCTCAAATTTGACTGCAAAAAGAAAAAATTAATTTTAACTCAAATCCATCTTGTTAGTATAATGAGCGGTTCCTAAGATCAGTGGATAGGAACTTTAATTAACAACAGAGATATAGTTTGCTTAGCTGTATCAACAAAAATGATGGCTCTACTGCCATGGATATTGCATTAGCTAAAAGAGCTGATGGATTAGTAATAATCACATTTCCAGGAATAGTCATTAATCCCATCAATACTCAGATTCAAAACAACTCGGTTTGTAACGTATCTAGTACAGAAAAAGTGTCTAAACTTTTAAAGCACAGAATAAGCTATTTATTGTCCTTCAGATGCATCTTTGGTTAAGGACAAATAGAGAATGGTGTGAAGTAAAGTTATTAGAAGCTCATTGCAGTACTGCAATAGTTATGACCACGAGAAAGTTTCTTTAATACTGTTTTAATCCAATATAAGTGGCACTAAGGCTCTATGTATAAAAGATTCACACAGCGAATGTTTGCTGGTCATTCATCTATCAGTATTTTACAGCATTCTACTTTCATTTTTAAAGGATTTACTCCTATTTAGATTACTTTGGCTTCAGAATCTTACAGACTTTTGTATATGCTCACTTGCCATTCACTGCTATGATGTGTGGCTCCCTCCTTGTTTAGCTATGGAGAGCTGGATTATAATGATTAGACAGGAGCAGGTGTAATAGCCAGTGGGGTCAGACTGTGGTCAGGGCTGAGAGACTCTGCAGGTCACCCCTCTGGAATTCCCCCCTGCTCTGAGGCTTTCAGAGTAGGGCCTTGGAGACAGTGGGTGGATCTGAGGAGTGGCTGGCTACACTCTTGTGGGACCTCAGCAATTCCCAATAGAAGGCTTGGCAAGGGGCTGGGGCACCCTTAAAAGTGTAAGAACCTGCTGAATAGCAGGAGTGGAGGAGAGTAGTGTGGAGAGTCGGGTGGAAGAAGGAGTAGGAAGATGTGAGACTAGAGACGGAAGGCTGCTAGGAGGCCCAATGGGATGGGGCCTCCCTGCGAGCCTGGAGCTGGAGAGGTGGAAAACCTGGAGCTCACTGGCCCCCTGAGCGAGGACCACCTGTATGTCAGGGAAGGAGCAGCCCAGCTGATAGGCCTGGTAGCAGCAGCCAACCTGCAAGGAGTACAGGAGAGAATCTGAGTGAGTACGCCTGCACCCCCTGGGTGGATAGGGGAAGGAGCATTCTGGTGGGAAACCAAATTAGCCCCCTACTAGTGACTATTCACCTCATTTAAAAAGGGACAGGAGTCAGATCCCCTACTCAGGAAAATTCTCCAGATTGCTGGGTGAAGAGGAGTAAATCTAGGGTCTGGGGTGGTACAAAAGGAGATGCTGCCTAGCACTCCAACAGAGACTGTCACAGAAGAGAAGCTTGTGAATAGTTCCAGGAAGTTTTTTCATCAGTTATCGGGTTCCTTGGGCATCCTATACCCTCCTTACCCTATCCCAGTTAAATCCCCTTAAATACAAAACAACAGCCCAAGGACTGATTTGTGACTCGGAATGAAAGTTTGTGTGGAGAATGCAGATTGACTGGCCATGTAGGACTATAGGGGGACCCAATTCATCAGCAACCCCTAAGGGGGTAGTGCTACAGATGCATAAAATAAATTAAATATTTCTAAAGGTTTTCTGATTGTCTTTTTCCTTAATAGGCAAATAGCCAATTGGAAAAAGAATAAAGGATGGTTGACAATGACAGGTAGTTTGGAAATTGCCACTAAACATGTTTATTGTGTATATTTATATTGTGGAATCATAAATAAAGAAAATATAGAGAGTGGAAAAAATGTTTAAAAAACATTTAAAAATAAGATGTTTTGGGTATAGTGATGAGGGGTTAGCAACCCTGTTACATTTTTATTGTGCATTTTGTCCCAGCTTGGGTTATTCATTCCTTTTATTTGTCCTAGTGATGATTTTTTTCCAGGACTGAAAGTGAATAAAAATCAAACATTATGAGTTTGAGTGGACTAAATGAAAAAAAGCTAATAGATTGCTGCAATGTGGTGCCAATATTTAAAAAGGGGTCAAAATCTTTACCAAGTAATTATAGACTTGTTAGTTTAACTTCTATAGTTGGGAAGATACTGCAGAGTTTAATAAAAGACCCCATAGATGAGTTCTTGCTGGAAAAAAATATTTTAAACAACAGACAGCATGGATTCATGAAAGATAGAAGTTATCAAACAAA